TGAAGTCCCTCCCTTTCCTCCATGGGACCTTATTTCTGAAAAATGTATTGAAGTCGATGGAGAGAGAAAGATTATCTTTCCATCCCGTTTGAATTGTGCCACAAATTACACATATGATGTTTGTCAATTTAAAAGATAATTTTGCAAGTCAACACAATTAAAATGGTGTTAAAATGTGAAGTAACACTTTTTGTGTGTGAAACCACTCAATGAACTACATCTCCCGTCTCGCACCACCACACCCAGACGGCCGTCACGTTGAAACATTTCACTTCTTTCTTTCAGAATGAGGCGGAAAGTATTAAACGAGGTGAAAATCACTCCAAGTCTGGGCACGTTGAGAGCTGTGCATACACACAAGGGGAGTTAGTCGGTTCCTAAGAGCCAGCATGCGGGACCGGGACTCTGGGATTTGTAGTCTTTCTAGTTGCGTATTTTTCATAGTCTTATATTTCAACAGTTTTACGACAAACTGTGACTTTTTTGACATGGAAATGATTTTTTAAGATTGACAAACATCATATGTGTAATTCGTGGCACAATTCAAACGGGATCGAAAGATAATCTTTATCTCCCCATTGACTCAATACATACTTTTCAGAAATAAGGTCCCATGGACCGGAAGTAGAGGACGGGACTTTGCTCTCGGCTGTTATTGGTATCATGTGACTTTGACTTTTGAGCTTGTAAATATAAAATAATTTGGAAACGATTGTGGAAATCACCTACTTTAGACAGATTGAAAACATGAAAATAACACAAGTTAAAACAGGTGATAAATATTTGAATTTGAACATACCTGATTTCCGTTTAATGTCAGTTGGGGTAGCATTAGCAATATTAGCTCAGTTCTCCTTGTTTTCCTGCTTGTTCCATGTTTGTAAACCATGTTCAGTGAACTCTCTTTTCCTTTTCCTCTTTTTGTCCGTCCTGATCACTTAACGTTAACAGGGTTTATTAACCAGTGCTGGCTCACACACGTTATACATGCTTACTGTGCACTTCATCACTGCTAGTGTATCTATCTCCTGTGTAGACAGCAGGGGGCGCAGTTATACTGAGAGCACAATACATTCACATGAATATCACATTGCCCTTTTCTTTTTAATAGCTTTAAACATTTGGCTGTTATACTGCATTCAACATAACAGTTATCTGGAACTAGTGCAATTCTGCTGTAACAGTATCTTTAAGACTTTTGCATTCACATTTTAGCTTTGAACACATCATCCACACATATACCTGTACTACGTAATGACAATAAGTTGAATCTTCTTCTTCTTCTCTTCTTGAATCACTCCAGCTACTCTGGCCTGCAAGTCTACTTGTGAAAAGCACTGGTACAAAATGCTTGTATAACTTTACACGTTAGGGCCAGCTAATAAGCAGGGCCGTCTCTCCAGGCCGATCATGCAGACTGCGTGGGGCCTCATCTTGCGGAGGGGGCCTCAACTGACCCAAAAATGCGGCGCGCTTATGCGGCGCAATTAGTGTGGCGCGACACGGTTTCGCCGCTGCGCCCCACTAGCATGAGGGAGGGGACAGACTGAGTGATGATGAACACTGTGCTTTGTTTCAGGAGGAAACTCAGTTATTCAATCATGAGAGACGGTTTTGATGAAAGAATACATATTTATTGCCAGGAATACACGAATGAATGTAATGGAGTTTTGGCGATTAGGCCCCATTGTGCAGGAGTATCATTTGGGAGGGGAGAACCGATCCGATGAAACCCCCCGGGGTCTAGACTGGTGGTGGTGATGGATAGTTGGTTCGGTCTGAAGGGGAGGGGCTTAGCTTGACCCTGGTGGTGGTGAATGGATAGTTGGTTCGGTCTGAAGGGGAGGGGCTTAGCTTGACCCTGGTGGTGGTGAATGGATGGTTGGTTCGGTCTGAAGGGGGGGCTTAGCTTGACCCTGGTGGTGGTGAATGGATAGTTGGTTCGGTCTGAAGGGGAGGGGCTTAGCTTGACCCTGGTGGTGGTGAATGGATGGTTGGGTTCGGTCAGAAGGGGAGGAGCTTGACCCTGGTGGTGGTGAATGGATGGTTGGGGTCGGTCTGAAGGGGAGGGGCTTAGCTTGACCCTGGTGGTGGTGAATGGATAGTTGGTTCGGTCTGAAGGGGAGGGGCTTAGCTTGACCCTGGTGGTGGTGAATGGATGGTTGGGGTCGGTCTGAAGGGGAGGGGCTTAGCTTGACCCTGGTGGTGGTGAATGGATGGGGGGTCGGTCTGAAGGGAGGGGCTTAGCTTGACCCTGGTGGTGGAGAATGGATGGGTGGGGTCGGTCTGAAGGGGAGGGGCTTAGCTTGACCCTGGTGGTGGAGAATGGATGGTTGGGGTCGGTCTGAAGGGGAGGGGCTTAGCTTGACCCTGGTGGTGGTGAATGGATGGTTGGGGTCGGTCTGAAGGGGAGGGGCTTAGCTTGACCCTGGTGGTGGAGAATGGATGGTTGGGGTCGGTCTGAAGGGGAGGGGCTTAGCTTGACCCTGGTGGTGGTGGTGAATGGATGGTCGGGGTCGGTCTGAAGGGGAGGGGCTTAGCTTGACCCTGGATTCAGAGGGACAGGAGGTGGAAAGGGTGGGGGGGGGTTGCGTCGAGTCACCTGAAATGACAGCTGTCAGAGGGGAGAGCAGATTTAAAAGGTTTACCAGGGCACTATGATAAGCTTGTGAGAATGGAGCGAAGTGATTGGTTAAGCTGGGGAGTGACGCCCCCGATCACTTATTGAGAGGAGAGAGAGTAGTAACTTGGAAATAGTAAATGAATGAATAAAGACGGTCTTCCTGGTTGAACTTGCGCTGAGCTTCAAAGTCTCAGATCACCTCCATCAGCTTCGTACGGCACCTTGGACATAATACAAGAAGAACATCCTTTTTGTTTTTGAAAGACAAACCTTTATTAATTATCCATTTAATTTGATCACACATCCCATCAGTGAAGTCTGTTCAATGATTTCATGATCAGCTTCACTTTCTCCACACCATGTGTTTCATCTCAGCTGTTTCAAACAGAACCATACATGATATCCTTATTGATTATTATCCTGATAAGTTATGTTCTATAAAACATCAGAGTACCCACTTTCTATTTGGACAACAACAACAACAACAACAATTAGTCTGCAAAACAATAACTGTAATATTATACAATTTATTTCCCGATGAAAGACTCAAGTTATTTACAGCAGAATAATAAATGATGTACTTATTATTATGATCATGACAGGAAGTGATATCATTTCATCTGTCAGAATAATACATGTGATTATAAATGTCTCTGTTGTTTTAGAAAGTGGAATAAAATGTGCACAATAAAAGAAGCTCTGCTGCTTTCTCTCTGAAGACTCAAGAGAAACAACAACAAGAATCAAAAGAAATATCCAACACATATTTAGAGCAAAGTTTACAGGTGAACAAGGATCCTCCTGAGCAGTGACAGCCTCCATGCTACACAGACACAGGAAGGAGCCGGAAGAAAGTCCAGCATCTACAGAACAACTCGTGAGAGGATGTTGAAGCCCCGCCCATCATGTTTGATTGACAGCTGATCTCTGCAGTGAAGACATGGACAATCAGCTCTGATGGACACACGGTGAGTTTAAGAAGTAGAAGAGTTCCTCCAAGGACTTCAGGCTATTTGAGTTTACAAAACTCAGCTGTGTCTCCATTAATATAATAAAGATAAAGTCCAGCATGCAGCGGCTGAGTGAACGTGGTCTGCACTCTGTGGAGGAGAGTCATGGTTTCAGAGACGCTGTAGAAGGACAGAACACCTGCTCTGTGATCCAGGTACACTCCTACTCTGGAGGACCGAGGACCTGAGACGGGAGTGCTGATACTGTTGTGAAGAAATTAATACCTGTGTTGGAAACAATCTAAGGACCAAGATTTGTCATTGTGTCCAAATAAACATCCAGTCCCTGCTCTGCTGATATTCTTGTATGCGACTGCAACACGAACTCCTGCCCCTCTCCACTCCACCTCCCAGTAACTACGTCCAGTCAGACTCTCTCTACTCAGGACCTGAGGATACCATCCAGTGAATCTGTCTGGGTGACTGGAATGAGACTGTTGTTGGTTCATGAATGTTGCTTTTCTGCTCCCCTCAGATAATAACAGATGTGTCTCTGCTGTGTTTGGATCCAGAGTGATCTCCTGTGAATATTTTAAGAACCAAGCTCTGGTGGTGGGCTCTGCTGCTGACAGTAAAACATCCACCCATTCCTCTCTCAGGACGTCCTGTAGTTTGTCTCTGACTGCTGACAGGGCCGCCATCACGTCCTCAAAGTAGCTCAGAGGACGGAGGTTGATGCTGGAGGAGTGTGTAGCTTCACTGAGGGCTGGCAGTGAGGGGTAGCTGAGCAGGAACTGGTTGTGATCCTCTGTGTGAGACAGCAGCAGCTTCAGCTCAGCGTCTCTCCCCTTCAGCTCCCTGATCTCCTGCTCCAGCTTCTCCTGGAGCTCTCTGACTCGACTCACTTCTCTCTTCTGCTGGGATCTGAGCTGCTGCTTCACCATCAGAGCTTCTCTTCTCCATGAGACGTGATCAGCTCAGTGAACGTCTTCTCACTGTCCTCCACTGCTTTATCAGCAGAGCCATGAGGCCTGCACCTCGTGCTGAAGCAGCTTCACCTCCCCTTCTCTCCATCCTGGATCCTCTGCTGGATGTTGAGTCGACTTCCCCTCAGCTCTTCTCTGCCTCTCAGTCCTCTCTGCTGCAGCTGACACCGTGTCGTTGGCCTTTGTGTTCGTCCATAGAGCAGAGATAACAGATTACTCTGCTTGATCAGTGCCGGCAGAAAGCTTCATCACCATCGTCGTGACGATGAGCAGATGTTCTCCTGGAGCTTCTTGGAGGGCTCCACCAGCTTGTGTTTTTTAAAGACAGGCAAATTCATAATGACGGCTGGAGGTGTTGGTCCCATAAGCGGCCAGACACACGAGGCAGGACTTACAGGCTCTCAGCTTCCCTCCCCGTTGCAGACATCACAGGCCACATCTTCAGCTCCAGCATAGAAGAGATTCAGCAGGAGCAGCTGGGGGTCCAGTCTTCTTCAGCTCCTCCATAAAGCTGCCTAACATGGTGTTCTTCAGCAGGAAGGCCTCGGTTGTGAAGCGCTGCCCTGCACTGAGGGCCAGCTGTGGAATAGCTCTCCATTCCCAGTGCGTTTAAACACTTCATGCACTTCGCTGTGTCCACAGGGAGTCGTCACCGGATCCTTCAGTAGATCCAGACAGAATGGGACAAGAGAAGGTTCCCGGTCCAGCTGAACTCCTTTCTGCGCCATTCACCTCTCAGTAGCAGCGAGTGTGAGCTTCACTTCCTGAGAGCTGAAACTAGTGTGACAGGTTATCTGAACAGCATGTGTGTGTGTGTGTGAGCAGTGAATGTGGCCTATCAGCTCTTGTACTTTACACCTGGATCTGAAGGGGAGGAACCAGGAAGTACAGAGTGGAGCTGGCTGTGTCTGAGAGCAGGGCTTATCAAACGCTGACTCATTCCAGGAGGAGCAGCAGCGCTCAGACTCTGACCTACACAGAGCCTCGGTTACAACCTGCTCTTCCTTTGAAAAGAGCTTTTAGTTGTAAAAATAAGTTGGTAAACTTACAAAATCTGAAGGGGGTTAAATACTTGTTTCCTCCACTGTAAATGTATAGCCTCAATCAGTGGCGGCTGGTGGAAAATATTTTAGGTGGGGCTGTGGAAATGGTGATCAAACAATACTAGGGGGGTCCGGGGGGATTCTCCCCCGGTAAAACAAATTGAGAAAAGACCCCTTAAATTATAACTTCTGGTGATGTTAGAGGGGGGGGGGGGGGGGGGGGGGGGGGGGGAGGACAAATTGAGGCTTAAAAATATGAGAAGACTGATCAATACCTCCATAATTCAGTGTGGTTAGCTATGAATCTTCCAAAACTTCCAAACACCTTGTCCTGGACATAGTTTCTACAGTATAAACTGTGCAACAGTACAGTAGGCCCACACACACTGCAGAACACCGGGGCTTTGGGAACACTCAAAATTACTTAATATGATTTAATTCCCATTTAACCTGTTAAGGGGCTTTTTCCCCCGTTTTTTTCTCACGAAACTGTGTCTCAGCGCTTCTTAAAATGTAATAAACTATTCATGTGTCCTACTCATTTAACGGGAAGAAACTCAGCTAACTGATTATATGAACCATGTTTACCGAAACAAAACACAAGTCTCACAAGAAGCGTCTAAATGAGCCCTGAGCGAAAAAATGCAAACTCACTCTAGGTATAAATTAATGGATATACTTATTGGATATGCACACACAAGCTTAGCTAACAAGCTGAGATTCCACAGATTCTAGAAATATAAGTATCATCACTGAGCGATCAGAACTCGCAACAGGGGAAGCAAATACAGACAACACACGACGTAGCTTTAGGTAGCTAATTCATAATTCCATTTTTATGGACACAATAGTTTTCCTATTAGCTGCTAATGATAGCTTCCAGAGTGAATGACAGCTTCCTGTTTTGTCTCCTTGGATACGAGTCCAAACAACTCACAGACTGCACCGGGCCCTGTGACCATCAGATTTGACGACGCTGATTGGCTGAAATAATGTTTCGCCGGCATAGTTTAAAGATAGCAACAGTTGCCTTCTGCTGCACTTGCTGCACTCTCGTCTGGGCGCTGTGCATAGCGCCCAGACGAGAGAAGGTAATGATACACGGGCAAGGCCAGGCAGGAAACATGTGACTTATCACTTATCAGTAACTTTAGACATCGTAACACAATTTTAAACGATATTTTATTGTAGATTATACATTTGACTGATACCTGTCGGGGAAACTTCTGTGTAGCATTGCAGTGGGAGTCACCGACTCATGAAGGAGACACGGGATGAGCAGGAGTTTTGATGTCAAACACTGATGGTTTATTTAGGAGTATCGGCCGGAGGATTCACATCACAAGTCACAGCAGTCACGGATCTGACTGCACGGGAGAGTTGCCACATCAATTCTGAAGCGCCTCTCTTTTGCTAGAACTTTTAATAGGTTCACAAAGAGTAATCAACATAGTGAGGGAGATAAACTAAACATCTGGGAACACTAGAGATAGCCTAAACATCTGGGGACACTGAATCACTTGTCTGACCCTCATGGCCTCGAAGATTACACCTTGGAGTCCACAAACACCGAGAAGGAAGTGTTCCAGCGTTCTCACAACCATAAACCATTTATGACCGAGAGTTGCCCGGTGATAAACTGGGAACAACAACATATGGCTCAGGCAGCCCATTCCGTAAGGGAGATAACAGACATCAGGGTTGGTCATAAACGTCAAAGGGCAAAAGGTTACATATCTAGGAGTAAAGGAGAATTATTCTGTAACAATACCAATTATATAATATTTACCTTGTTTATTAAAAATTATTTTTTTATTTTTTTTAATATATTTTTGTAACCTGTTAAGCCCCAAGGAGACACTGTGTCTCAGGCAGGGGCGGATCTACGGGGGGGCAAGGGGGGGCAGCTCAATGAACTACATCTCCCGTCTCGCACCACACACCAAGACGGCTGTCACGTTGAAAACATTTCACTTCTTTCTTTCAGAACGAGGCGGACAGTATTAAAAGAGGTGAAAATCACTCCAAGTCTGGGCGTGTTGAGAGCTGTGCATACACACAAGGGGAGTTAGTCGGTTCCGTGAGAGCCAGCATGCGGGACCGGGACTCTGGGATTTGTAGTCTTTCTACTTGCGTATTTTTCATAGTCTTATATTTCAACAGTTTTACGACAAACTATGACTTTTTTTGACGTGGAAATTATTTTTTAAGATTGACAAACATCATATGTGTAATTCGTGGCACAATTCAAACGGCATCGAAAGATAATCTTTCTCTCCCCATTGACTACAATACAAACTTTTCCGAAATAAGCTCCCATGGGTCAGAAGTAGATGCGACTCTCGGCTGTTATTGTGTATCATGTGACTTTGCTCAGTTTCTCCTTGTTGTCCTGCTTGTTCCATGTTTGTAAATCCTCTATATAGTTCTTAAAACCCCGTTTTAGCCCAGGTACCATCATTTACCGCAAAAAGACACACTGTTAGCTAAAATAGAAACGTTATTCGGTCTTCAAGCTAGCAGTTAGCCTGACAAGCTAGCTGTTAGCCACCGACTCCAACACAAATCGGATTGTTTTAAGCAGATAATTGGTTTTAAACATTCCCCAGCGGCTAGTTAGCAACGAAGTGATACATCTCAAGTCTTAAAAATTAACTTTTAAATATGTGCTGTCGAAGATAATCCACATTGTTCACAGCGGACCCCTTGACCGTCAGGCTTCTACGGGCAGGGCGTCCCATAGACCTTCATAGACCACGTGATCAACAACAATGGCCGACCTTCGTGTTATTCTCGGTGGAAAATGCCTACATTTAAGGTTCATTTGGCCATTAAAATGCGTTTTGATGTCATTTTATGCGATTAATATGAGTTGTTATTTCTGATTATTTGTGCAGTAGATTTACATGATGTTTAGTTTGCTAGTTATGACGAAGATTACTTCATGAATGTGTACACATTCATGGTTGCTAAGGTGGTTGCTATGGACGCTGCAACAGCTCCCAGACCACGTGATCAACAACAATGGCCGACCTTCGTGTTATTCTCGGTGGAAAAGGCCTATTTTAAGGTTCATTTGGCCATTAAAATGCGTTTTGATGTCATTTTATGCGAGTAATGAGTTTTTATTTCTGATGATTTGTGCAGTAGATGTACATGATGTTTAGTTTGCTAGTTATGACGAAGATTACTTCATGAATGTGTACACATTCATGGTTGCTAACGTTTTTTTGGTGGAAATGTGTTTTTTCACAACAAAGTCACCCTCTGTACTTGGACTTATTGGGAGAATCTAAAGGCAAGAACATCCCAAATATTCATTTAGATCTTTATTTTAGACCTTTAGTGTTGCCGTCTCTGAGGAAAATAAATGGGGCTCAGAGCCTCGTATTTTTAAAATCTTTTTTTCCTTCTAATTTGTTATTCTTTTCAAAATAACACACTGTTATTTACTCACTAATAACACACAAGTATCCTTGCTTTTATTTATTGGTTTAATTCCATAATCTCGGGCTTTTTTGGCGTTCGTCAGGAACTGAATTTCAAAATAAAAATAACCGGAAACAGACGTAGGCCTATAAGGGACATTTCGAGCATCATTGCCAACATTTTTGAGTTTAGGTTGGCCGAAGACACTACACTACCCATAATCCCCAGCTATCGTTTAGGACTACAGTCCCCGTGATTAATCTTCAAGGTCTGGGATTGGATGTTGGAGTGGCAGTGCGCCAAGGTTACGCCGAGCGTCAAACAGCTGTTGAGCGACGCCACCTCTTAGCTCCGAAACTCTCGCCTCTAGACCAACAATTTTTGGAGCTGGAAGTGAACCGGATTCCGGAACTCAGAGGCGGCGCCGCTGCGGTGTGAACAGGAAAAACCGGCACTTTTCAGGCTCCAGGTCCGAGCCGGAGCTGAAAACGCGTTGGTGTGAAAGGGGCATTACAGGCAAAGTCACTGATTAAGTCCTTGAAGTCCAGCTTTCTAGCTAACTGGCTTTCAATGGACAGCATGGCAAGACTGCAAAGCCTGTCCTGAGACATAGTGGACCTCAAATAGTTTTTTTTTAATCAATTGTAGCTTACTGAAAGCTCTCTCACCTCCTGCAACAGTCACAGGCAGTGTGCAAAATATACGTAAAACAATGCACAATTCTCCAAAAATGCTTTGCAGCTGCATCTTGTGAATTGCATTCAGGAGACCAAGAGGGGACAAGTTAGTGTGGAAAGTGGCAGCATACACAGTGTTCAGGTGTCTTACTTCATTTTCAAACTCAGGTGTAAGATCTCTTGAATACTTCCTGATCAGTGGTTGGCAAACAGAAGGGACTTTATCCTCAGCAATCTGCCCAACTTTCAGAACAGCAGAAAATTCTTCCACAATACATTGAGTGGTGCGGAACCTAGTGTCTAAGTCGCATATGATCTTGTCCATTACTGAAGTACATTTCAAAGCCTCTTTACTTTTACTTGAGTAAAGAAGTTTAGTCAGTACTTCTACTTTTACCAGAGCAATTTTAAAGA